CTGAAGAAACAGGAAGTGACCCAGATAAACTTAGTGTGGTATTTCCTGTTAGTGCCACTGTTGCTAATTGAGTCGGACTGTGGAGGAGGAAGAGCCAAGGACTTTCTTTAGAGAGGAGCTTCAGAGCCACCACACTGCTCTGCAGGGATCACACTCGGGTGCTGTTTGAGGCTATGAAAGACACCATGATTGTAGTTTTCATCAACCCTTAAACACCCTCCTGTAACCTAAACTAAACTCCCATCTCTGTCAGAAGTTTAGAGAAGGTCAGCGCAGCTTCAGAAAGGAACAGTATCTATGATACTGACACAGGTGATTGTTCTGTGTTAGTACCACTCCACCTTCGCTCTGTGTTGGACACAGTAGACCATCATCATATATAATACATATATAGGAGGCTACAGGGCTGTGTGGGTGCATCAGGCACAGTATTAGTCTGGTGCGACTGACAGAAGTTTCACTGTATCTGGGCCCCTGATGTTCTCTTTATATATTTGGACAGATTAAACATATTTAATGTCACATATCTTTTCTTTGCAGATGATATCGAACTCTACGCTTCATCCAAACCCTGAGGCCAAGGTTATATATGTTATATATGTTATATATGTTATATATGTTATATACGTTATACAGGTTAATTAAACCTGTCTTAACTCATCAGGAAACTTTCTGAGGCTCAGTGCTGATGAGACGGAGGGATGATCCGTCCTTGTCATTGGACACTGATGTGAAGCAGCTGGAATTTGGTTAATCTGTATTTCATGTATTTTATTGTGTATTAGCAAATACATTGATGGTCTTTGCTTTGTACTTTATGTGAATCTGTAAAGCACGTGTGACTTAGACTCAGTTACTCTAACAGTTTGTTCTTACTGTTCTCTGGTGACAAAGAGTCAGAACTGTTCTCTACAAACTGCACAGGGTGGTTCACTGGTGGTTAAAACATCAGCAGGACATCTAAAGACCAGGAGGTTGTTAAGGGTTAATAAAAAGCTCCAGCTCGACAGTCGCTGTGACTTTCCCAGTCATCATGTTGTGTTTACATTCCTGTCAGATCCAGAGTGGCCGGGGGGGGTGGGGGGGTAAATCTGTCCCAGTTTCCTTGTGAGGGAAACGATGAGTCTGATCTGAACGTCTCAGGAGATTCAGACGTCTCAGACTCACGTACAATCAGCACAAAACACCAACACCTGCTACAGCTGCTGGAAACAGGCAGGTGCCACTTCTCAAAGCCTTGTGGCTACTGTTGGGAATCAAACCCACGACACAAAGGAGACAATTCAGTCAGTGTGAAGCTGGATGGTTCACATCCTGCTGAGTCTGAACAACAAATGACAGGCAGGAGCAGAGCAACAACAAAACATGGAAGGAAACACACGCACGCACACACACACACACACACACACACACACACACACACACAC